CCGACAACCTCATCTTAGAAGTCCACAAATACAGTGACGAAGATAACAGTGGAACCCACGCCGAATGCGTAACAAACAATATTGATGATGCTTTTGCTCCGTTAGCAGATTATGCACGTGGTCAAAAACGATTAGTACTCAATACTGAATTTGGAGGTGGTTCAGGGAATGATTGTATTACTGATATTGGTCAACAACTTGCGTATCTTAATCAAAATAGTGACGGTTCGTGTTTTGGTTTTTTGATTTTTTGATTTTTTGTGCGCGCTACTGATTGTGCGTTCTTTTTTCTCTCTTTAGTGTACCTTGGATGGACTGGATGGGCCGCTGGATCTTTCTTAGCTGGATATACTCTCGACTTATCACCAGTTGATACCAATGGAACTTGGGTTGATACACCACTTGTTGCCCAAGCTCTGGTACCCGCTTTCAGCGGTAACTAACTTTCTTCAAAAAAATATTCTCATTTCTTTTTGGTTGATAAAATTCCAATAAAACTCTTTTCGTAAACCTAGAGTCTTGTTATCCAAATGATATACATGATTATATAATCGACGAGACTAAAATGAAAATGCAACAAAACAGAAAGTCCAGTATCAAATGTATGCTTCAAATCTACTTTTTTTGAAATAATAAAAACGGAATGGAATAAAAAAAATGATAAATCTAAAAACGGAACCCCCTTGAAGTTTTTATAACAAACCCTCACTGATAATCCAGTCAATAACATACTTTCGATTAATCCGGCGAATAGTATAATACTCACGTAAGACCCAAAAATAAAATGGCAAACAAACTACATATCAACGCCCATCCAATATTCCCTTGTACACCAGGGGCAGCAGCAAACGGTTGACCAGTAAATATCGGCGGAGCGGCTTGAGTGATATTGGGTGGTGGAGGGATAACAATGGCGTTAGGGAAAAGAGGATCATGATATGTTCTAATACTCTTAATTTCAAAGTATGCTGTATCATATGTCGATGGAGGACCGATGACGTAGTCTTGATAACAGCTTCCGCTACATGTTTGAGCGAAGATGGTAGGGTCACCGGCACTTTTGAGAGAGAGAGAGAGAGAGAGAGAGAGAATGCGTAAGTTCTTAAAGGATAGATTAATATACTGGGTAACTTACAAAGCACCTGAAAGATTTTGTGAGTTAGGAAATAAGACAGTGAAGTTTATAGGGACAAGGAACGTACCACATAAATCGATATTAAGCGTAAGATGTTGCGGTTCAATGAATGACAAATTACATGTGGACGCCGGGAAGTTCGCTACTGGAGTGCCTAACATTGTTGTATTAATATCGCCAGTACCATTTTGCAATGTAGCAGGAATCGCGGAACGCTGTGAATTCAAACCCATGAGTAAAAAAAAAAACAACTGACAAAAAAGGTAATAAATCCATATCCATACAGTGAAGAACCATATCGAGATCCCATCCACTCCAAATTCAGTGACGAATACACCTCCTCCGGCATTAGCAAACCCTTCTCCATAAGCTGTTGAATTGGTATTCTGAACAACACATCCCTGATTCGAATTAAATTCGAAGGAACAATCTGTTGAATTGATTAATCCTGTGAACTTATTGCTTGGTGAATCGTCAAGTGTGCATCCCTATGTTTTGTATTAAATTAAAAGACGGCCTAAAAGAGGGTTGCATGTAGACATACTGGAAGAGTATGTAGGGCCATTTGACCGTTGGGCATTAAATTGACATATTCAAATGTATCAATTTCACCACTGGCAGGCCAACTTGGGGCACTACTCCACCATGCCGGCCAGACGCTAGTAGAGAAGGTGGTTCGTTAAACCAAAAGTCGGAAACGAACGTCCACTAATAAAAAGAATTTCACCTGCAACCATAAGGAACATGAACCATATCCGCTACCCAAAGACTTCCCAAGCCATGAACCGCATTGGTTTGAATACGCACAGTATTACGGAAAGCGCCATCTTTTAATTTAGTAGTGTTGTCGACTTTGATGATGGCGTTTCCTGCTTCGTTGACAAAAGCTAATTTCTCACTGGCTCCTACTTGGGCAGAAACGTAGATCGCGGAACCTTCAGTGAGATTGTCGACTGTAAAAAAAAAAATGATCAAAAATAATGCTTTAAATGAGAATATGATGTCAATTACAGTTATCAAAGAACCCCCACTCGTCAAAAAATGTTGGTCCGGCGTATTCGGTGTTTAGTTCATAGATGTTATGGGCGAATGTTAGTGGAAGTAGAGGAATAAGGAGTGGGATGACGAGTCCTAGAGGTAGCATGACTTGATTGATTGCGTTTCCGTATGTGAATGTGAATGTGACGAGGGAAGAGGGAGAACTAGACGAGGTATGAGTATGTCGTATCACCAGAGATGATGATCCGTCCTAGAGCTGGTAGTACACCCAAAGCTTGGAGAAAGGGGACTAGAATGTAGCTCGGTCCAAAAGATCGATTAAATATGCACGCTTGTTTTTTTTTTTTCAAGAGTGATAATCCAATCACCATTCCAGGACCATATGTACAAAAAGTAGGTACGCACGGTGCATGATACGGCATGGCACTGATATAAACACCCTGTAATGTAAAACCTTCTTTTGGTTCCACGACTTCTATTTTGTCTGTGCTGGGATAATCCTTTTTCGAATTCCCCTGCCGTTTTTGATGTCCCCTGGGTAAATGGATGGGACTGTCAAGATTAAGGGCGATCCATCATTTAAAAAATCCTATGCTTCGATATTATGGTGCATAAAATTATGGTGGACCAGACTTTTTGTCATTTATGATTTAGGATATTTCTGGTGTAATTTATAAATGTAACCATCCGAAAGATTGCTTTATTTTCTATCTATCCCATGTAGGTCCTGTCTGTCTCTCTCGATTCCTAAGGGTTTGTCGGGAAGATGCCATTGTTGAAAGAAGAAGATAATTGTCAGATTATGTCTGGTTCGGGTATTTAGAATGTCCCGTCCTGTATAATTAATTGACAGTCGTGGGTTTGAAACAACAAATGCGATGGTTCGAGTTCTGGAATGATAGACAAGTCCGACGTGATGCGTTTGGCCAGGTGCCGTCAAACGGCAGTGTGTTTGTGGCTTGATTGGACCTTAACCCTTTCTCCTGATTGGCGATGAATGGACCTTGTAAATGAACGTTTTTCCACAAATATAACCACAAAGCGATCTTTCTTTGTGTAAGAAAAAGATTATTGAAAGAGGTATGGGGAAATGGTCGAGTTTGGTATAACTGGAAAAGGAAAAAAAAAAAAAAGAAACGGAATGGTATGTGTGTGCGTGCATATTTATAATCCAAAAGGTCGGTCCTTTTGTTGATTCAAAAGCGTTGATGAGACAGAATAACTGTCGCGTTAGATGTTAGGCACGAGGGGTCGAGAAAACGTCTGTCAATGCAATTCGTGAGAAGAAAGGCAAAGCTGAAAGCCCGCTCAACGGTTCCTTCAAACACTGATTTCTATGCTTTATCTTTATCATCAATTATCTTTTCAGCATCTGTAATCCCATGCACGTCCGAGTCCGATTGAACTATAGGATGATCCCATTGCGCTTCCCATTCTTTCAACCTAGCGTTATACCGCTCTTGCCAATTCTCTTCACCACGTTTCTTTAATTCAAGCCAATCAATTCTCCGAATTGAATTTTCCATATCTCTGAAGTAGTAATTATGCCCGCCGCGGGGCCAGATAAGACGATCGTGATCATGTCCATCGATAGCATTTTGAGAATCTGAATGTGACGTGGCGCTGTTGGGCTTGACAGCATCTGTCAATCCTTGTGTGTGGGAATCGTGATGTTGAGAAGGGTCGTTTGATTGGGTAACGGTAAAAATGCCATGTTCACACTCCGTTTGAGGGATTTGGTATAAATCCCCCTGATAAAGGTATAAAGGGGATTCAGTGAGATGTCGATAGCCCATTCGACGTAGTGGAAGAACATAGGCACCTTTTTAAGGAATGAAAATGATGGTGTAAGCGAAAGAGAAAAAAAAGCACCAATGTATATCAAAGATAGCAAGGACTACACACCATCATTATACGCTTTGATGGAGTATTCGCGAAAACTCTCCTGTCCAAAGCGGTGTCGAAAGTCGTGTAATGTTTTTATCCAAAACCGGAAGAGACTTTTATTTCCTAATCTTGGCGAACCGAATACCGCGAGGATAAGAGAAATGCCAGCGGTAATGCCGTATTGATTGGACGAAGTCGCAACGGTCCGAGGATGACAAAGTTCATCCATAATGTCAAGGGCGAGAAGATAACATAATGTACTTCCCATACTGTGACCCGTTAAAACAAGGGTAGATATTGGTGTAGAGGTTTGAGAGAACCCCAACTGTAAAGCTTTTATCGCCTTCTCCTTGATCCCGCGATACATGCTCCAGAAACCCGAATGCACGCCCAAAGACTTTTCTTTGCCTTTGCCCTTGCCTTTGCCTTGACGTTGAGGATAAGTAATTTTCCATGCTTTGACATCGTTCACAGCTTGTGAGATATTCGAAGTGCCAGAGAACGCTATGACAAGTTGTTGAGAATGAGGTCGTAATGCTACGTATCCTTGAACCTTGGCAACGTTGCCCTTGAAGCAACTAACGAAAACGGGTTTATCGCACTGCAAAGCTTTGTAACCTTCTAATGGATAACTAGGTTGACAAAGTTCGTCAATATTTCGAAATACGAAATCTGGATTAAAGAAACCATTGGCGAGTTCTGCGTATTGACTGATTTCGGAGAGAAAAGTGTAAAGAGCGTCGTCATCGATTCTATCCTCGTCTGTTAAGATATATTTGGATCGGGTAGCAAAAAGAGAAGATAAAAAGCGAAAATTAGTGACTGATTCTGAAGCATAAGCTCGTTCATAAAGAGACAGCGCTTTGTTCTTTTTCTTGGAAATGGGTAGGGCTTGGAGGAGACGCAAAAGAGGTGATCTCATTGCGGGTATAGGATGTGGTATGGTATGAAGGAGCTAGTTCGACTCCACAATGCGTAGTCCATGATGGTGTAATGGCTAACATCGCTGTCTTTCAAATCTCATTTCACAGCAGCTCGGGGTTCGATTCCCCGTCATGGAAATTCTTTTTTGCGTCTTTTTATCTCTTATTTAAACATGAACGCTCAGAGGCAGCCCTTTCATATAAACATTCTTTCTAAATTTCTAGGTTACGTGGCTTTTACTTATTATATCTTAGGCATCCGCCTATCGGAGACAAATGATATCGTAATGAAGGGGGCTGACGCGCACTGCAGGGCTAAAAAAAACCTTGTCTCTGATTTGTCTTTATATTTCGAGGGTCCTTCTTAGTGAAACCACGTTATTCATTCCTATTCGAAAATGAATTGCTTAAAGAAACACGCCCTCTGGCTGCGGACTAAATTTAACACATGATGTCAGTGGAAACTCGCCTCTTTTCAAAAAAAAATCAATTCCACCAAAACTACTTGTTCTATTTACAGAACTTGTTATATAAAAGCGGATTTTCGGCTCCCAGTGATCGATCACTGATTGTTTTGGACCGCCCAATCCCACACTCGTCGGGGTCTGGTAAATTTTTATCTTCTTCGCCAGCTGCATCAAATCACTTACGCTCTTTCTTGTGATCTTTCACTCAGTTTCATATTCCTCTTTGCCCTTTTTGTTTCTTATATAGCATCCCCCCGATGAAAAGTTTTCTCGCCTCGGTGGCGTTGTCGTTGTTATCCTTGACAACCATAGTCCAAGCCCAAAATCCTTATAAACTTACAAAAACTTACGCAGGTCCAACGTTTTTTGACGATTGGATATATTACAACAACTGTAAGTGGTATCAAAAACAACCTCTACCACCCGCCTATTCGGTTATATTGATTCGATGGTTTTTTTAAGTCGACAACTTGACCAATGGAGATGCAATCTTTGTGTCAAAAGAAGTAGCGACGGCCGACAATTTGACATTTATCAACAGTGCAGGAAACGCGGTTATACGAGTCGATAACTTTACTCAAGTTCCTTTCAATATTAAACGCAATACTGTTCGTATCTCGACGGCTCAACAATATGGAGTAGGCTCTGTGTGGACTGCAGATATGATTCACGGCCCTTTTGGATGCAGGTTTGTCTTGAGTGCGGCTTTGTGCAACTCCCTTCATCATTAAAATCTCGTGTTCTCAACAGTGTTTGGCCTGCTTGGTGGAGTCAGTCATTGACATGGCCGGCTGGTGGAGAAATTGATACCTTTGAGAACGTCAATCAGGCCACAGCGAACCAAATCTCATTACATACCAATCCTGTGCGTCGACAACAACGCAATCTTTTTCTTATTTTATTTGCTCATGCTTCTTTCTTTAAAAAAAAAATAAAAAAAACTCTAGGGATGCAGTCTTTCTAATACCGCCAACTTCACCGGAAACGTTATCTCTTCAGATTGCTCGGCGACTGCTAACAACAATCAAGGATGTATTGTGGCAGACAACTCTAATGGTGCCTTTGGACAATCGTTCTCTGCAAATGGAGGTGGTGTGTTCGTTACTGAGTATGCCGCAACATATATCGCAGTTTGGTTCTTGCCAGTATGTTCCGAGTTCTTTTATCTTATCTCAGATGAAGGTTGACTTTCATTATCCCCTTATAGCGTGCCAGTATACCTTCTCCATTGAACGATGATAGCGCCACCACGTTAGATACCTCAACGATAGGTGAACCGCTCGTCAATTACACAAACGCTGGATGCAACATCGCCGAATTCTTCACTGCGCAAGAGCTCATACTTGATATTACACTATGCGGAGACTTGTTCGTCGCTCATTCAAACCTAGAGAAATAGCATGCTTTCTTACTCATCTCACTTTTTATAGTGCAGGCAACCCTATGATCTTCAACGAAACATGCCAAGGCGTATGTTACAACGACTTTGTCATTGGCCCGCCTTCAAACTACGACAATGCCTATTTTGAAATCAGAAACATTAAAGTTTTCCAGAATGATGCTGCTATTAGTGCTAGCGGTTCTTCAAGTTCATCAAGTTCATCAGGTTCTGGTTCAAATTCAGGTTCCGGTTCTAGTTCTAGTTCCGGTTCTAGTTCAGGATCGAATTCTGACTCTCCTTCAGGAGGTACTAAAAACTCCGCGTCCGGTATGTCGATCATGAGCACCGGATTCATCTCATTGTTAGGAGCGGCGTTGCTGGGTTCAACGCTACTCTAAAACGGAGATGACGATGAACTTATTTATTTAAAAAGAACGGACTACATTTATTTCTTATGCCATTCCTTTCCATACCCAAGTATTCTTCCACTGAGTACCTGGAAAAGAGACATTTTGTTCCGCCTTTACTTTACACATAGTTTCTTGGAAAAAAAAAAAAAAAGAAAACCGTTTACTAGTATATATACCCTACATACATAATTGAATTAGTAGTGGTTGTAGTAAAAACGAGCGTAATAATAATACTATTAGAACTAGAGTCGCTGGGGGTCCCGGTCAGAGCGGGAAACCTCACCTCAGTCATGGTACGTCACTTCGCAACAGCAAATCACATCGATCAAAAACTTTTACCTCACCTCGCTCATTTCTTCGTCAGAGAGATATCGATCTTGCAAAAAAATTGTTGAGGTCGGCTGCGCAAATTTGCCACTCCTCATGGGAATTTTACCTCAAAGTGATGCCGTGCGCCTTGCTTCCGGATGGGGGAAGAGTACTAATAATAGTTCGCTCCCTCTACCCTCCACAGTCCTTCACCCCTAACGACCGACCCCCCCTCTCCACCAAACTATAACCATAATGACAAGTCAAATTATACCCACAGGTGTATTCGATACTAGCGGAAATGAGAAAGACTCTATTGTCGTTACAGGTTGGGTACTTGATCAAGTTTTGGACGTTGAAAAGATTGAAGCTGCGTATTTGAAACTTGTTCAGAGATGGCCGATTCTTAGTGCACGATTGAGGACGAAAGGAAAGGTGCGCGTGAAGTAGTGGTTTTATACTGTCGAACTTACATTGAAACTTAAAAAAAAAGAAATGGGTGTATGAAATTCCTACCGAGTTCAACGCGTCAACACCTCAATATGTCTTTAAGAAAGTTATTCTACCTGGACCGATTGAAAAGACATATAATTATGGCAAAGTATCATCCTCGATTCGATGTACGATAAAAGACAATCAAAACGATCTTTTCTCAAAGGATGGTCCTCGTTCAGTTGGTGACTACATGAAGTCAAACATCCCCGTCTCACAACTCCAAGTAACATTATTCGATGATGCAACACTTGTCGGTCTTACCACTCCGCATGTCCTCTGTGATGGACATGGTAACAAAGAGATCATGGTAGCTATAACCAAGATCCTTCGCGGCGAAGAAGTTGAAGAGTTACATACCGACGATCCGTTCACTCCATTCGTTATACCAGATGACAAGAAGGATGAACCGATAAAGACACCACCGTTTTGGAGGGTCTTTACAATGTGGAATATTATCACTTTTATGGCCCATCTCATGGCTGATTTTGCCAAGACGCGCGATATCACCAATAGGGACGTGTTTTTCCCGAAAGAAGAGGTGGAGAGGATTAAAGAACAGGCTATGGCTGATTTGAAGAAGGAGAAAGGTGAAGATCCTAATGTGTGGGTTAGTTCAAGTGACGCGCTCATTGCATTCTTCTTGAAGGTAAGAACTTAGAACTAGCTCCGTTCTGTCGGTGGTAGTAACTCTTGAGATATAGCGAGTCCATCCTCCATCCTCTTCGACAACCCCTTTAAACGTCTTATACTCTGCCAACCTTCGTCGCTATCTCAAACGTCCAGCACCATTACCTAGTCCTTTCCTTCACAATGCCGCCATGACAGTCGTCACACCCACTCTTCCCATCTCCTCCATCCACACTCTTTCCTTAGGATCATTAGCTTACCACATCCGTACTACACTCCGCGATCAAACAGATCAAGATGCTCTTGAAACCTGGCTAACATGGAGAATTCGTAATGCTGGAAGAATGAGTCTTTTCTTTGAGCCCAACGGAGGCGCATGGAACGTCGTCACTAATTGGAGGGATATGAAGTTGATGTATGTCGACTTTTCGGGCGCGTTACCGGACGATCAACAACAACAGGGGAAGCAAGTTAAATGTTTATATTTGTTTGGGAATTCTTTCCAACCGTTTCCTGTTCGGAATATCATGGGGCTTGTTGCTGATGATCCTAGTGGTGGTGTTTGGATGGGAGGTAAGATCTCATTACGTGTTTGTTGGGGGTTTCTCTAACTGGGAAACTTAGGTTTCTTCTCAAGTAAGAAAGTATGGGAACGTGCCGATGGGTTTAAAGAATTCATTCCCAACTAAAAGGAACAGTCGGCTAGTGTTTATGGTTCTGAACGACATTGCTTATCAACCACGAATGGACATCTTTTTTAATTTTGTCTGAAGAGCATTCCATCACATTGTTTATCAAGAACCCATTGATTGATATCTATTTATACTCAAAAGATTGAATAAATAGTTATTTTAAAAGTTCTTTTTGGAAGGATGGATGGATGATGCACTGCGGTTGAGTTGATTTCATCATTGTTCTCCAACTTTATATTTTTTAGTACATTTTATCGTTATTATCATTATTTATTTCGTACACAATGGAGAGTCTAATGTAAAAATATCCAACTTCAGAAATATAACGCTACAAAAAAAAAACAAAAAAAAAGCATCCCAAAATCGTACAAAATATCACTTTCTTTTTTTTTTCACAACATACTAAATCGCCATAGGTACAAATTCATGAGAACTTGATCCACCCCCTAAAGTTCCATGACCCTCATCTTTTACCTGTTCAATGGGATAAATAATCTCTGAACCTGAAGTCCCGGTATAATTTCCAAATTGAACGCTGGTCGTAGTAGTATTACCATCGGATTTGGATACAGTGAACATGGGTAATGAAGGCGAGACACCAATTGAGGTGTTTGGTTTGTTGTTGCTGGTGCTAGCTGAATTGGAATCGTACCGGGCTCGGAGGTGTCTTCTTGAGTTGAGTCTACGAGGATTAGTTAAAGTACCCTTATTTTTTTAAGAGAAAGTTAGGTTTCTTACAGAGCGAGGAGACAGTTTG